GGCTGTGCTTCCTTTGAAAATAGGCAGCCGTAGTCCTGGCTATTGAGGCCCCTAAAAAGAGGGTCATGTCATTGATTCATAGCTCTCCTCTTAGCCCTTTGGAAGACTGGCCACCACAAGACCATTGGAGAGAGACTTCCTTAGGCTGATAACATTTGTTTTCAAGGAATTTTATTGAGCAACATCCATGTTCTGAGGAACAGTGGCCAGATTGTCTCCCTGGCTCCTCACCACCACCGCAGTTCTCCAAGGGCCATTTCACATTGCACAGTTATAGCGCTATGGTTCCACTTTAGCAATCATGGGAGTGTGTGGTTTGGTGAGGGACTAGAGCTCCTCTCTGGCCGAGAATGCTAAATACCCCTCCCTGAACTACAAATCCCAGCATCCCATAGGATGGAGCCAAGGCAATTAAACAGGAATCAAAGTGCTATAATCTCTTTGGAGGTTTTTAAACAGAGGCTGGGTGGCCATCTCTCCAGGGTGACCAGATGTCATCCTAAACGCAGAGGAGGACAAGGCACTGCAAATGTAGCACATTCAGTAAAAATTTAGGACATTAACAAATAAAGGCCAAAAACACTAATATAAATCTAATTCACACTTCTTAGTCATGCTCAAAATGGAGGACATTTGAAATTCCTCCTAGACAAATGTAGGACATGTCCTGGAAAAGGATAACGTCTGGTCACCCTGCCTCTGTCAGGAGTGCTTTGATGGTGTCTTCCTGAATGGCAGAAGGAGGTTGGACTGGATGGCCCTTGGGGGTCCCTTCCGACTCTAGGATTCTATTGTGTGACCATCCTTGGTTATCTTTCAGGTTTTCTCCCCATGGAAAAGAGGACTACCCCACCGCAGTCCCTTCTCTTCATTGAATGTGTTTTCTTTCTTGGCCATACCTTGGAAGACGTTGGTTGCTTTCTTTGAAATGCCCTGTTTCATGCCGTGGAAAAGAGGTGCCTCCATGCATGGAAGAGGGCGACTTAGAGTAGGGAGCTGGTATCACCACTTGGGTCTCCTTTTAGGCCAGGGGTAGGCAACCTTTCCCCTTTAAGGGCCAAGGGACTTCAGCTCCCAGAAGCCTCAGCCACGTTGGCCAATAGTCCCATGTTGGCCAATAGCTCCTGGGATTCTGGGAGCTGAAGTCCCTCGGCCCTTAAAGGGGAAAGGTTGCCTACCCCTGTTTTAGGCAAAAGGAACCATGATGGCACCAGACACCCCCAAATGTGGCTGAGCAACTTCTGAACTGAACTGAACCCTTCAGGAAAGTTGACCAGAGCTGAAACACGTCTCTAAACGGTCACAGGGTGGAGGTAGGACATTTGCAAATATTAAGACTTGGTAGCCAGCATGAGAAATCTTGGGGGTTAGTCACACAGTGAAAATAATCTGAGTTGAATCTGTTGTTCACATGCATTTTGAATGCATCCGATTAAGTTGGGGGGGGCTGCCAGAACCCCCCACTTAACCCAGGATAATCGATGTTGGGTTTCTCCCCCAGTTTTTCTAAAAGATTCACATTCTTGGCTGTGTGAATAACTGGTATGGATAGACCCTGGATAAACTGGGATAAAGGGATGCGGTGGCTCAAGTGGTTGAGATGCTGACTCTCTTGATGGCAAGATCGGCAGGTTGGTAGTCCGAGGCCCAGGTGCTGCATGATGGGGTCAGCTCTAGCACTTCAAAAGCATGCAAATGCAAGGAGATAAATAGGTACCACTTTGGGGGAAGGTAACACATTCTCTGCAATCATGCTGGCCACAGGATCCCAGAGTAGTCTCTGACAATGCTGGCTCTTCGGCTTAGGAATGGAGAGGAGCACCGGCCCCTATAGTCAGACACGACTTGAGAACCTTTAAACTGGGATAAAACGCTGCATGCCTGGAACGTGCTTCGAATACATCCAGACCATCAACTCCACCTTTATTCGAGTGCTGACACATGCGAGCCACAGAACTGGCAGAGATGCACAGAGATGCAGTTCCATAGTATGAGCAACAAATCCAGAATGTGCATAGTTGCACTAAAAACCACCGCATGTGAATGACCCCTTGGTAGGGTGGCTGTGTGTGACTGTTTTCTGCGCTGATGCAAGACCCCTCCAAGCTAAAAACAGGAGAACAGGAGAAGTACTTGACTTTTTGGGTGAACACAGCTAAGAGCGAGCATAAGAGGAACCTGATGAGAAATAAAATAAATGAGAGGATCCCATGTTGGGACATGGTCATCTCCAGATTCAGGCTCTTAAGGAGTGATGAAGGGCTTACTGTCACGGAGTCACAGAAGCCTAGAGTTGGGAGGGTCCCCCAGAGGCCATATAGTCCAACCCACTGCTGCTCAGTGCAGGATCTCCAGCTAGACAGGGGTAGGCAACCTTTCCCCTTTAAGAGCCGAGGGACTTCAGCTCCCAGAAGCCTCAACCATGTTGGCCAATAGTCCTATATTGGCCAATTGCTCGTGGAATTCTGGGAGCTGAAGTCCCTCGGCCCTTAAAGGGGAAAGGTTGCCTACCCCTGAGCTAGAGCATCCCCAGCAGAAGGAAGCTGTCCAGATCCTTCCTGAAGATGTCGAGAGAAGGAGGCCCCACCACCTCTCTAGGCAATGGGTTCCAGCGCTAAACTGCTCTCATTGTCAAGAAGTTCCTTTTAATGTTCCGTCAAAATCTACTTTCTTGTAATTTTTAAATCATTAAACCCAGGTCTGGAGGTGGTTCCTCTGTATGTCAAAGGGAGCAGAGGGTTAAACTGGAAACCCACCAGTGATGGAGGCATTGGGTTAATGCTTTGCAATGGTCTTGGCTGCAGAGGACGCAGCAGAGCAGATCCCTGTGGCTGAAACAAGGCTTCCAGGAAGCGGCTCAGAGGAAGTGTGGCAAACGGTGGTGACAAGAGAGGAAACGCCAGACCGCATTGACAAATTATTGGCCAACAAATCACTGAATCCAGATTGTATTATTCCTCTGAGACTCTCGAGGAC